TCTCATTAGTATGAATGTTATACAATTTGATTATACCAGTTAACGCATTGTTTCTGTGTTTAAGATAGACAACAGCTTTAATCAGGTCAGCAACGCACAGAATTACACACAACTTGGTGTGCGCGCGCACACAAACACATACACAGACAGGCAGCCAGACAGACAGACAAACACACGCACACACTCACAGGTTTTTACAGTATCCATCACTTAAACCAAATAAATGTATGTCCTTGTTAATGTTTATTATTATTATTAATATTAGTCATTTGGAAATTAAAATGATACATATTTCAAGTAAGACTCGACATATTTGACATTAATTAGTTTTATTATTTCAGAAGACGTTTAAATTGGCTAAAATATGCTGAAACTAATTTAGACCAACTACTGACCTTCAGATTTTTTAAGAATATATATTTTAGAATGTCACCATTCGCCTTTAAATGAAAAGGGCACAGCGTCAATTGGAATCAAAATAATTATATGACATTAACATTACAGTTTACCACCACACATTACACTCATTTCTACTTTTAGTTATCCCAAAACTGTTAAGACAGGTGGATGTTTCTAACTAGAATAATCTGGGTTCGATTAATGTCGACATAGCTCTGTCTACACAATCTAGCCAGTAATCAAAACCACATCATTTGTTTTTACATAAATAAACCTTGATGGTCCTTTGAGTTATTAAAATACGACACTTTGCAGTAACACTTATTACAATTTCGTGACCTGAAAAGCATAGGCTACCCCACCTGTTTTAATTTCTGTTTATGAACAGCCCAAGCTACACAATAATTAGAATCTTGACACACTGACGCAGTCACACGGACAAACTCACACACAGTAACTGAACATAATGTGAAATAATAAGTGCTAACCGTGAGGCCGCATCCAAGGGAACATGAGGCTCGGAGAGGAGTTTTGACTTAAGTGGCCTTGTCCTTCTCCAGGGTTAGTGCTATTGGACGATTTACAGTCTGGGTATTGCGCTAAGGTGGCCTCTTGCTGGGTACCATAAAGCGGTTGCCTCGGAAGGGCTTCATATCCATAAAATTTCGTAGCGTCTCCGTGACATGCCAATGCACAGGGGTTCTGTTGATACCCAGGGTTGGAGATACCTGTGGTTCCGTGATGGAAAAAGTCCTGTACGTGATGCGACGGGTGTTGAAACCCCGGCGCAGCTGCTCCATGTCCGTACACAAGCGTGTGGCTTCGGGCAACGCTCTGTGGAAACCTGCAGTCGTAGTAAGTTGGCTCTAATGTTTCGCCGCCTTTGTACTTGGAAAAAAGAGGGTTAACAAAATAAGAGCTCATGTTTATCTAGCATTAAAAAGAGTCAGTCTGTTTGGAAAAAATATATGTATTCTCCTCTCCTAATGGTGGCAACCTATTGTTGCAGTTCCAAATGGCATGCAACGCAGACACAGCAACCGGAACTAGATGGAGAAATGCTGCCCCTTCGGACAATCTGAGGCAGCTCCCACTTCAGCTCCTTTCGCTTAGTCTCTCTCTCTCTCTCTTCCTATCGCCAGCCTTTCCTTTTGCAGCCTCAAATCATGGCGTGCACGGTGGATGTGTGTTAAGGTTAAAGCTGGCTAGCTCCGACGGCTCAGTCACAAGCTCATACTTTTTTTTTGCCTCCCACCAGCCACCCCCACTACAATGAGACTCACCCCCCCACCCCTTGTCCCCTACACCCCACCCTTTGGCTCCTCATCTTCCAGAGCGTCCACAGGCGTCTACCTTGAAGGGGAAACGCAGTTGTCAGTCTTTTTATTGAATAAAAACGGCTGCACGCATAAAATGAATGGAGCATAGAAGTTTTTTAATGGCCGCTTTAGAACATAACCGCAGGTTACGGCCGCTTCTTACTGGCCATACTGGTCATTTCAGTCCTGCGGTCACGCTAAAACAATTTATCTGGTATTTCATTTATGATATAGTCTAACTCGGTATCATTTTCTTTCAAAAGTCGTATAAGGTCCAACCATTTTACATTTAATCTGATAGGTTTATAAGTTTACGTATCGAGCCATAACCCACAATGACTACATTACTCAAGTTCATAAACATTGGGCTACGAAAAAACGATTAAAGATTGACACCGCATGCAAATTAAAACACAAATTAGAATTGTAATGTGAATGAAAATGATTTAAAGTACAATTACAATTTGTTATTATTTATATTATTATTTTTGTTGTTGTTATTATTATTATAATTATTATTACTGCTACATTAAAATAGTGTGATCGTGATACCTACTTTGATTATTTGCGTTAAACCGCTTACACACAGAGAGAGAAAGGCTGGATACGCAAGCCTCTCTTGGCCCTCCTAAACCATACTAAAAAGTTGTAAATCTGCCGTACTGACACAATAAAATTGCGCAATAGATGCCTCGTTATTTTACTAGACACGTTAATGGCTTGTTGTTTATTTCGGGTTTGCTCATTTAAAGTCCGTCCCAAAATATGAGCATGTGGTTTTGTGTCGTTACTTGACAATTTTTACACTTCGCTGTTAAACGGGAAAGGCACACAAAGAAAATTTATTGACATCTCACAGTCTATAAAGATGCAGATTTTGGGTCATTGTCTATGTTACAGGACCACTATTACCATGGAGTATTTATTTTTATGTAACGGAAATAAAATCAATAGTTTATAAAATACTAAATCAAGGACACGATGGAATTTAATTTCAAACGAATCTATTTCATTAGGCATTATAATCATACCCATATTGTTAATATTATTTAGTATTTAACTTTTATAATATTATTTACTATTTTAATTTAACATTAATAATAGTAATAATGAAACATTGAAAAATAATTAAAATTCATAACAGTGTATTAAAGGCTCTGATAATAAAAAACCGCCAATTTAAAGTGTCAATTATTTGACAGTGTCTTACGTCAAAAAAGTTACGCAAAAAACGTACCTTCAAAAAAATAAAAATAAAAAATACATCTAGGCCTTAAATTAAATAAATTTACCGAACGCATATAGCCGGCGACATTTGCAAATAAGATATAGCAGGAGAGAAGGCTAAATTCTGTTACAATTTCCCAGTGCCTTCAATAAATTATGTCAGCTATACAGGGAAGCATTAAAACCAACAATGTGCTTTTTAAACCCATCAGTGATATACGGATTTTGACAAAACAAAAGACACGGGGAGGAGTGTGAAAAAGGCTTCGCAGTATGAGTGTTCGATACTGACAAAAAACTATTAAGAAATACAAAAATATAATAAAGCAAACAGTTTGTTTTAGGAAAACGATAAAGACGGTGTAAATGTAACGTTTATTACTTTAGCGTGTTGACATTTGTTTTTAAAGCCACAAATGTGATTAATAACAGGGAAGGCCATTCTTTCAGCACTTTTCCTTTAGTACACTCCCAGGCTTTAGTGGTAGAAAATGCTTTAACTGTGAGCCAATAGCGCCATCTAGTGTACTTGGGGGTAACTTCTACAAATTACCATTGACTGGAGGCCAAGGCCACACAATCCGTGCAGCAAAACATACAGTAATCCAAATAAATTAGGACAATGACAGAAAGCCCATTTAAATGTACCTTTAAGGGAAACCTCAGACAGTAAAAACACAACACTCCTTGCAGTACCAAATACATGATTTAAGATCTTACAGAGCCAGCATGGACACTGTAAATTAACTTTACAACTATGTGTTAAGTGAAACTAAGCTTTTTCACTTTAGCGTCGTTTAAAAGCTTCTGATTGTGATGTTGGAGGATTGTTGTTGCCTCAAGTTAGCCCAAACGACTAAATGGCTTTGCAGAACACTTTAAGGTCCACCAACAACGTCCATTAAACCATAAAGTAATTTAGCCCAGACGTCTAGCCAGTTAGCCAGGTTGGCTTTGTTCGTCTGCATCAGAGACAAACAACACCAAGCTCCAACAGGGCTGTAAAACTGGCATTTTAGTTCTAGGGCGGAAACGTGGTCGATCAGGCTTTGAAATCACCGCATCCTGTTCGTATTGTTAAGGCCCACAAAAAGGCAATTTCGATCTAGCGAAGGACGCTAGTGCTAAACACATTAGCTTTAATTAAACATGTAGGCCCTTCTGCTAAAATTAATATCGGTTGATTTTGGTTTTACTTTAATATCGATAATAGAATGTCAAATGCAGCGGCAAATTTGTCATTTTAATTATAAATAACCCAAATAAACAACGTTCAAATGTAAGGGCATGTCACTTTAAAAGATTTAATGTAAGTTCGTACTCCAATAACGCTAGTCTACTTTGCTTTCAAAGTTAACCCCCCTTTTGCTTTATTAGGCCAATCAGTCTAATAAAAACGTAATCATTGTTAATTAAATTAGTATTTTTATTTAATTTACTTGATCAAGTTTGTTTTAATTGTTTTAATTTCTAATTTATAATCTATTAATCTATTTTTATATTGTAAAATATAATTTAAACCACTGATCGCTGTTTCTCGCAATTCTTTCCGGTGAAACGTTGTATTAGTAGGCTTATAATAAACCGTAAAATATCTAGGCTTTCACATCGCGAATAATTATAACAAAACATTGCAGTTTATAATTAGTAAACTCTTTATTCACTGGCTTTTTTTAAATGATGAAATCATATAAAGTGTAAAAAATGAGTGGGAGTAATGAGTTTCGTCAGTGCTTGGAAACAAGCTACTGATCAAATCTAAATATGATGATAAATAATGCACGGGAGTGAATGAGGCCTACCACAGGCATTTCAGGATTTGTTCTTTGTGGGATGTGCAAATGTAATATTTTGGTATTCACACAAACATTTTATAGTGGCCTTACAACTGTGCACATATACACCAGCTTAGATATTTTCCACACGACAACATTGTCGTTGTAGGCCGAACTCTATGCTAAAACTGGGTAATACACACAAACTCCTTCCTGTATAAGTTTTCACTGCGAAATTATCAACTTTTTGCGCTTAAATGAATGGAATAAGACACAAAAATCATATTAACATGGTTGTATATATTTGGATATATCTACAATCTATAATGAAACTCATTTACAGTTTAAAGAATGTAAAATACACAAACAGGTACATCAAAAACAAACTAAGTACATCGACGCAAACACGTATTCTTAACTACAGAATTGTTAATCTTTATAAAATACTTGGCTTTCAAACCTTCTACAAATAAATGGAAGCATAGAAAAGAAACAACCACGAAGATATAGCATAAATTAGGAATTTCAAAATAAAGTAGTTCAAGTATATTTTTCTCTGAAACTTCGGGGTAGTCTCTCTTCAGAGTCCACGTTTGTGTTTGTGAGTAAAGAAACGTTATGTAAATCCAAACTACGTATAATATTAATATGACTCAATCCAGGATGGTAAAAATTACATTTATATTAAACCATACTAATAACAACACGTTTTAAAGATATCCATAAAGGATATTCGTTTTCTCTGTTCCTTTTATGGGCCGAAGGTGCAAATGTTAAGACTCATGACCGTTCTAAATGATGATTTTCCTTCAGTCTGTGTCCGATTAATGACATTTGGTCTATTGTTCTTTACTGTCGTTTTTTTCCTTGTTCATTTTCTTCATCTTCATCCGTCGGTTCTGGAACCAGATTTTGACTTGTCGCTCCGTTAGGTTCAGCACCCTTGCTACCTCATATCGCCGGTCTCTTGTGAGGTACATATTGAATAAAAATTCCTTTTCGAGTTCGAGTGTTTGATACTTGGTGTACGGACAACGTTTCTTTCGAGTTGAGCGCGCATGGATCCAGTTTGCCACAGGATTATCTGAAAAACAACGTACAAAAAGTGTGATTAGGTGCTGCTGCAAACAAACACGCTGTCTGAAACAGATGACAGTCGCATGTTAAGAATTAGAGATACAACCCTTCTTTCCTGATTAGAACAGCCATACTTGTGTATAATGCAATAATTGCAATTGCACCGTAGCACCTAAGGACACTTCTAATTTTAGCAAGATTAATTTGGTTAAATGCTCTTAGCACTTGTAAATAGCAGGTAATTTTATAGGAGGTACTCCTATATCTAGCTATTTGAAATAGCTTTGCAAACTCTTACAGAGAAATGGCGCTGTAAACTGGTGAATGTACCTATTTGCTTTATAGGCCCATAAAAAAGAAAAGGCTTGTGACTCAAGCCTTCACAAGTCTACGCTCAAAGTTCTGCTATGCAGTGAATGCACTTCGAACATTCCACGTGCTGTTCCTTGCTATAAATGCTGTTTTTATGTGTAAATAATATTTAATTTAATAGTTAAACATTTAAATTAAACAAGTGCCTGTTTTTTTGTGCCTGTTTCATTAGACAATGCGGTCATGATGTTGTAATACACTCTACAGATATAATTTAAAACAAGTAATATTATTATTTATAGGTTGTAATAAAACACTCAACATTTGAAACAAAATTAGCTTTTAAGAAATATTCATTTGCAAGTTTAATACGCATAATCGTGCCCAAAAAGCCTGTATTGTTATTGAGTCAACGGGAGGCTAAACTTGTACATATCCACATTAAACAACACACAGTGAAAAAACTACATCGTCTTAAAGCTATAATGATAATAGGACAGATCTTTGTTAACATCACATGCTACGTTCTTTGCCAGACTTGGCTTCTTAGGAGACAATTTTTATAGCTCACAACCCGTTTTACAACCCAATCCTATGGCGTTTGTCATCAATGGATAGCCCTAAAGCAGACTTGAGTCGGGATGAAAGAGTATAGAACTTGGTTTTACGACGGACAACAGCCAACCACCAAGCGAACGCAATAAACTGAGAAGCATCCCATACCCGGTTGTAAACAAGAATTGCTCTAACTTACTTGGGTCTAATTCAGCCTTGTCGTCTTTGTGCTTCCCGGAAGACAGGCTCTCCGTCTCTGGCGATGGTGTATTCTGTTGCTTTTCTCTAATGTCGACGGCTGAACAGTAGAGATAATCCGTATAAGTACGTCCGTTCGAGCCCAAACAGTCTCCGGCGCGGGGATCCTGGAAGGTGTCGGGCTTCAGCCCGTAGTGCCTGCTATTCCCTGCATATCCTGGAAAAGACACGGTACCGGGGATGGGCTCCAGCCAAGAGCGAACGTACCTTGAGTCTGTGCCTAGGTGAGGTTGGTGAGTGTATGGATGGTAAACTACTGACGACTGGGAGTGAACAGGGGCCCACGAGGTAGTAAAGACTGGTGGTTTCGGGGCAAAGCTGCAGGACGGGTAATCCGCGCATTCCGGTACCAGGGGCGTCGGGCGTGAGCTGGAGGATATCGGACCAGTGGCTGTGAAACGACTCGCCAGAACATCCTCGCTCTCATGGTTGATCAAGGAATCCACATAATAATTACTTATGGGACCCGTAGCCGACATGGCGATGTTTCCCTTCTCTTTTACATGCATCCGATTATTATATGGAGTGTATGTGTACTTTTTTATCTGACCGTAGAACAATCAAGACAGGTAATTATTTCAGAAAGCTTCCCCAGCTGGGATTGGACGCCTGTGGAACACGTGATTGAATTTACCCCCTGAAAAAACTGCACAGCAGATCAATGCGCGCGTTCTCCTGGAACAGCAATGCACTTCGAGCTTGCAGTAAGGTTGCTTAATACTAATGTTTTCTTTTTAAAATGAGCGTAAACATAATAAAAGGCTTCGTTTCTAATGTATTATGAGGCAAGTGATTAACGTAGATAGTTATTTGAACTTAAACTGAACAGCAAAGTGTGTGTTAACGGCACTAAAAAGGCACTATTTGTTGGTGTAATCAATCTCTGTCGAGCCAATGCTACTGTGCTGTGGCTAGCCTTGTGCGCATCTCACACTTCACAATGTTATTTATTAAATGCAATTAGGCAAAAGAAACGGTTATACATGTCTTTCTCAGCTTCAGTATTAATTTATACAATTGAAAAGGACCCAATACAATAATTGTGACAAATATAGGCGCTTGTGTTGTCTAAAGGGTTGCTTTTACGCACTGAAGTCTTATTTTGCTCTAGTTTCAAACAAGTACAATTGGGATATCCCTCATAAAATGAAATTTTAAACAAATCGGGGCGGTGGGAATAGTAAGACGCCCGAAAACGCACCACAACTGCGGCTATATTCGTCAAGTGGTCGTGCATGCTTTTATGTCCTTCAATAAATTTTTACGAGGACCATTTGATTGTTCATAAACGTGTCGTTAATAAAACTGCAGTTGAGTTCCTGGTATAACATAAAACCAACACTACGCTTGTGAAAGAAGTCTCATCAAACCTCTTTCGAGTAGAAGAATGACGGTTCACTACCTCTGTTAGCTCTTAAAATTGCATCTGAGATAAAGATTTGGGACAAATCATCAGTATAACACAGTCAACGTACAATAGTAAAGTATTTATTGACCACTTTCTTTATTAATATTACATTTTATGCTATTTGCATTTATTTGTAAAGATTTTCTACGTTTACTAATTTTACTGCGATATTTTTGGACAAAACATCTGCATAACACAGCCAACATACGTTAGTAAAGTATTTATTGACCTCTTTTATTATTAAGTGTACATTATATGACATTTGAAATTATTGGTAAAGACTTTCTACATTTATCAAATTCACTACGATATTTTTTTTTTGGACAAAACATCTGCATAACAGCCTACACACATTAGTAAAGTATTTATTGACCACCTTTAATATTAATATAATTTTTGTGTTTGCATTTATTTGTAAAGACTTTCTACGTTTACCAATTTCACCAAGATTTTTTTTTGGACAAAACATCTGCATAACACAGTCTACATTAAATTAGTAAAGTATTTATTGACTTCTTTCATTATTAGCATTACTATGCCAGTTGCACTTATTTGTAAAGACTTTCTACGTTTATCAATTTTACTGCAATATTTTGGCCAAATCATCTGCATAACACAGTCAACATACATTAGTAAAGTATTTATTGACCTCTTTCATTATTAATAATACATTTGTTTATGGCTTTTGCAATTTTTTTGCAAAGACTTTCTACGTTTATCGATTGTACTGCGACATATTTTGATAAAACATCTGCATAAAACTAGTTACATAAGTTAGTAAAGTGTTTAATGTTCTCTTTCATTATTAACTTTACATTGTCATTTACAATTGTTGCGATTTTGTCAACTACGTTGATGTACTACAGGGCAAATAGTATTTTAAATGGAAAAAAAATTATATATATATATCCCTTTATTTTATACCTAAAGCTTTGTGAAATTATTGTACTTGAAGCTTTGTAAAATATTTGTAAATATAGGTTTTTATTTTGTTTGCAATTTCAAGTTATTAAAACTGGCTCACAAATAAACAAAATAATTGGATCCTAAACATATATCTCAAATAATTTAACGGTGTACTCTTGTCATGCAGAAAATGAATCCGTCTTGAACATTTTACGGTTAACATGCACATTATTATATAGCAAATTTAAGATTTTTACTGAACGTATATTGCGGCACTTGGAAATCTGTGAATTTTTGGGCTGCTGTCATTGTCAGTGTTAGGCCCAGTATGAAACCGGCCACATGAGGTCAGGCTTTTTTTTCCACCCTTCTTTTGTGGGAACATCAGACAAATTAATACATAGACACGTCAAAAACACTCGAGCAAAAAAAAAAAAAAAAAGAAAAGTTAACATTACTTTTGTAATACAAACAGTTTTTACAAAACCTTACTGTTTAATTAGTTAAATAGTTTAGAGAATTTTGGCAAAGTAATGGGTGTAATTGTGCACCTTTCAGCAGTAAAAGAACTTATTAAAGTTCTTAATTTAACATAATTTAAATAAAATTAAGTACACGCAAGCATACTATATTTAAGCAGTAGCATTTCATTAACTCAATTTGTGGTTTATAAGTAGGTGTGTCAGCTTGTTGATTATGGCGTTGATCTTATTTTTTTTTCTTGCGATACACTGCGGAGGCAATATAATATAAAAACCCTGACAGTAGATTTCGCTTTCAGTTTTGTGAAGAGAATTAATCATATGAAGTCTTGGTGGGATGTGGCGTATTGTGGTTATCAATGCATCTTATCAAACTAATAAATTAATTACAGCGTGACACGTACAGAACAAACATTTAATAGAAAACGTTCAACAACGGCATCATGTCTGTGTGTGTGTTATGTGCATACAAGTTTGTATAAAACATTGTCCTGCTTTTATCTGTTTTTTCGAGGGCGTGGTACTTCATGTTAAAGTCGCTTCTATCACCCTTATTATTCACCTTTACGATTTTTTAAATATTATTTTCTCTTATAATCACCTCTCACAATTGGTTTGGTGTTAAATGATTGTATAAAGCTGTTGTACAGACGCAAAAAAGATGTTTTTACGCTGTTTTAAAAATGAAAATAAAATAATAAAACCATTTGTCGACTGTTTTTTAATGTTTTTGGCATGTCTAGCATTGTATATACAGTTTTTAATTCAGTTGTATGTGTCCTTTTAGTCAAATATCAATTTTGTCAGATACAAATACTAATTTAGGTGACAAACAGGAAAGTGTTTTACACAAAATATCAATTTCATGGACAGAGCACCATTCGCTCTTTAAGAAACGCCTAAAATGGAGTCGTTCTCATTGTGATCGCATTCATTGATAACGAACTTGTGCTTTAGGAGTGTACAAATCAGTTGAATTAAGCGTTCACTGCAGTATTGGCACTTCAGCTGTCCAGGGTGACTCAGGAAAAACTAGGACTCTGCGGTGGACATGCGGAAGCGCTAGCACTGTGCTTTAGCTTTTAGAAAAGTCACACACATTCAAAGATTATAAACATTACCTAAACATCTATTTTATATATATATATATATATATATATATATATATATATATATATATATATATATATATATATATATAAAGTAAAACATATGCACATATGCAATCCCTATTTATATCATAAGGGTTGACAATTCAAGAATGACCCTGTTAATGTCTTAGTCTCGTGTGACCATAAACAGCATAGCATAGTATCATCATATACACATACCTTGTATTAGCATAACTTAATACATCATAATGGATTTTAAGGTGTCATTAAAAAGCATCAGAGTGCTTTCCTTTATGATGCAAGGACAATATTGTTGCTAATGCAATTTGATTAACGGGACTATCCATTGCTCTTATTTGCTTTCTGTTTGTTATTAAAAAATAGACTCAATTGTATTTGTTTAAAACTGCATAAAAGCATGGACACACCTAAAAGTCACGAGGTGTATTTATATCCCTCAATATTCCTATTCCTATAGTAATTCCTAATTTGTTTATAAGGTGCAGTTTACATAGACCCTTCGATTTTACTAGCGCAACAAAACCTTAAAAGACATTTCGTTGTTACAGCAGAGGTCTTATATGAGATATTAAGTCTATTTTCTTCAAAATTATTTTATATAACTTCTTTATAATGTAGCAAACATGTAAAGTCCTTCTACTATTTTTACACCTTATTTATATTTAATATTCTAGCTTTAAAACAACATTAAGGATGCCACGGTCAACGTGAACATCATAATCCAAAATACCGCTTAGCATACTAAAGAAATAATCTAACGCGTATATATACAAATTACAAAAAAAAAAAATAATAAATAATAATAATGTATGCTTATGAATGTTTGTATGCGTATATAAAAAGCTTTAATGTTCTTAGATGGTATGTTAATTTAAACAAATATTTAAACGGTTTTAAATAATATATATGTATATTATAAATAAATCGTTACATTTAATTATAGCACATAATATTGTAATGCTTTAAATTACTATTAAATGTTACTTTTTATTTTCTTTAATAACAAAAGAAAAGCTCAGTGTGCCTTTATGCCATGGTCAAAGTGAACACAGCGCACCACTCAGTTTCGTACTATATATACATAGTGTTGTAATACTTTATTTGTTGTAATACTTTATTTACTTTATATAACATGTGTTGTAATACTTCAGATTGTATATTTTAAAAATCTTTTTCATTTTTACCGTTTTTTATAGGCTAGATGTTTCTGTATTGATTTACGGGAGGACACAAAGGAATGTAAAATGTAATGTTTATCCTATTATCATTACAGGACTGATAGACATCACAGTGTCATATTACAATATCATATAATTGCAGCCGTGGGCGAAATAAACAGAAATGTCAACAGTACAAAGGTTTAAGGTTTCACTCAAACAAATTAGCTAAATTTATATAGCCTAACGTGTTGCGTCCTCGTAAAAGTTAATATAAAATAAATTCATTTTGGGCTTTTAATTAAACGAACTAATGTTGGATAACAATTCTGTTCAACACCTTTATTTAACAAAATGACTTGATGTGAATTAGAAACACTTTCCGTCAAGCTGAAATTGGTTCCAAATAACAGCGTAAACTAAATGCAGTAAATGAATAGCAAAATGTTATATTTGTGCAACATTTCAATTTCAAAACGTCAAGTAATATTGTTGATGCAAAAGTGCTAAAAACAATTAATTCGTTCAGAATCAGAATGTCCGCAAGTGCGTATTAGCAGAAATGACATCAAAACCAACAAAACGCAACAAAAACCTGAAATCAAAGAACAAAAAAAGAGACCTGTCCGTCACAGCTGTCAAATGATCCAAAATCAAGTACTGAAAACTATCCAGCAATCAAAATCTGTGTGAACATTTTTTTATTCAAATACACAAGGCTCTTCACAAACCAGGTATAGGCTATTGCTAATGCTACTGAAGAAAGCAGGCCTAAAGCACATACCAAGCAATAACACCCCATGCACCACTAAATGCGAACATTTCAGCAGAAATATAAATATATAAAATGTTTTAAACGGGAGTAGGTGTTTTGCTGTCCACCAATCCTTAGGCTATTTCAGGATATTGCTGCTATATCCGCATGCTAGGCGGCAGTGTCCTGTGGGGCTATAACGCGTGCTGTAAACTCTTTGTTGGTGACGCATTCCAGAGGAGAACCCCATTCACCCAACTGAATGAAAATGACTTTGGATTCCAGACTGTCTCCTCCCGTCGCAAAACAGCTGAAGGGAGGGGAGGGGGTTAAGAAAACAAGTATATATGGTGAAATCCAAAGACTACTCTCTCAGGAATTAAGGACAAATCGCGGATGAGGCCGATAATATACAACAAAAAATTGTCTCACAAGCCATATCTAAATTCGCTCACTCCTTTTACATATTAAGCAATTATTAAAGCAATTAGTATTACAACGGTACAGTGCAAACCTCCCCAGTTAACCACACATTTAGGCTTGTGGTTATTTATACAAGTAATTGGAATTATCCTGAAGATTTCCTCCGTGAATCCCACATCTTCCGCAAATCGCAAACCAACTAAAAACACACCTTAGTTACCGAAAAATGTTGTTTTCTTTTCTGTACTTAAAGGAAAAGTTTGCTACCCTTTTATACAACAACGAATTACTAATTTATAAATGTAATATGTAATTTAGAAGAATTTAAATAATTTAAGTTTCAGACTTCAGACACCATACGAGTTGACGAATATTTTATATATATATATATATATATATATATATATATATATATATATATATATATGTGTGTGTGTGTGTGTGTGTGTGTGTGTGTGTGTGTGTGTGTGTGTGTGTGTGTGTGTGTGTGTATGTGGTCTGTTAAAATAAATCTCCCTCAAGAAAGCTTCAGTGTTTATACTGTACAGCAGCTACAGGTTTGTACAGGCAAACATTGTCCGCCTTGGATATTTCTAAGTCTGTTGTGGCAACGCATTTTTACCTATACAATGTGCTGTTACTTTATTGACCAACGCTGCTGCTAAATAAAATTAAATTATATTATATAAAATAGTATATATAGTGTCTATACGGCCGTTTGAAATGGATTTTTTTGCTATTTCAGCCAGGCTGCTTGCAGATTATATGTGTGGTTGGCCCAGATGGGAGTAAAAATGTGGCACTGATTCAAAACAAATTTCAACAATTTCAACAAATGTTTTCTGAGAGCACAATGCCAAAGCTAGATAATTATCAAATTTGTAAATGTGATTGATTCGCCAAAAAGCTACCGCAAATACAATTGGCGTAAGAATAAACTCATAACTGAACATTTTAATAATGCCATCTTTTTAAAAGTATAAAAAAATGAATAAATAAATGAAAAGATAGTTTGTTTCTCATAGCTGTCAGCCAGTTTAACATTTGTTTATTTCTTTAAAAAAAAGGACAAGTTTTGCTAGCGCTTTGTCTTTGTAACCACATTATAACAACACCATATTGAAAATAATACATAAGAAAAAAAAAAAAAAACACTTTTGGCCATAGCTTAGAAAAAGAGAACGAGCCATAATAACGACCGGACTAAGTTTGCCCCATGATGTTAACAGTGCTTTCTCCCTCTGAGAGTCTAAATTCTCTTTTACAACCCGACACATAAAGGCGAGCAAAGGAGAAAAAGAGCCCGCTGTGGCTATAATCGTTCAGTTCATTTACAATGCCATTTGCGGAAACTTCATTGCACAGGGTGTAATTTAACGGCAATTGTCGCCCTTGATGAAGACGAACTGACGTAATCAAGGCAGTTTCTTGTTGTCGAGCCAGGAAGCCAATCCCAACAACATGAAACTACCTAAACCACGCACCAGCCGCGCGTAACGGCGTTATCCACAGGAGAAGACAAACAGCAAACTGCACAGACAAGTAAGGATTTTATTCCATTCATCATACAGCCGCTAGCGTTCATTTAATCAAACCTCGTCTGTGACGGTTCTAGTAGCATATGACCGAAAGGCCATGGCTTTGGCTAGCTTAGTGAATTAACACCAACATGCAGTCTGACACCACAATCAACAATTGCTATTTCTAACAACCCCCCCAAAAAATATATATTTCAAAGAGACATAGTGGCAAATTATTAGCATGTAAATAACTACAGAGCTTAAACAATAAAGAGATTGTCCAAATACTTATCTGCAGCCTTATTTCAGACATGAACGCACCAATGTACTAATGATAAAACTATTTGAAAACAAGTAAATAAAAAAGTACAACTAGCTAAACTGTCTTACAGATGTACTGTGAGTATAACTAATATCAATATATAAAATATAACTTTCGTATAACAAGATTCTCCATAAACTTTTGTCTAGAAGATGAGGCGCAGTATCCACAACTGCACACCCTTATAAACAACTGTCAGAAGCAGTAAGACCAAAGTCCACATCTCAATTAATTCATTCAAATGAAAGCTGTTATCCATGTCAGTGCTTGAGGGTGTCCAAAACAGCCTCCCTCGAGTTCAAGCGAGGGGAAAAATAAGGAAAACGTTATCCTACCTTGAGCGTTCTGCACATGGTCTGATTAACGTCGCTCATAGGATTCTCTCATTCATTCGCCGCGGCTGTAGCTCTTTAATTCTTCCGTGTTCAGTCCATCATATCGTAGCGTCTTATTACTCCATAATGAAAGGTTCCTGGTTCCAAAACAGCCAGGCAGACTGCAGAGCGCGTCAGTGAGGCCAGCACATTGCAGTCCCGAGTATGTGAATTAGCCCTCCTCCACTCACCTTTTAATGCATCTTTACTGCAGCAGCACATTATATTTGCAGATCATAAAATCCACCCCCAGCGCTTTCCAGGACCGTCATGACATTACAATTTTATGACCTTGACTTACTGTGGTCACCTGGATAATATTTAAATCAACGTTATGGGTCTCCCACTCATACTGAAAGTGCTATGCACTTTCTCCTTCTGCCTCTCTTCCCTGTCTTCACCCAAAATTTTACTGTCAACAGTATATAGAAGAAAATATGCAAGGGGAAGGACATACCAGGACATTATATTTTCCAATCCCCTGTTTTATTTATTAGCCTCTCGAGTTAAACATCAAATTGACAAATACACGTCAACAACAGAGCATGCAAAATACAGAGCGCGCATTGTGTATGACAAGCGCACTGACAGCAAACAAACTAACCTAAGACATCGAATAGACATCTCGTTCGTATATTCTGAGTAAAGGACTTTTAATATTACAAATCTTCCACGAATATGTGCACCAAGCATCATTTTCTTCCGCTATAGGTATATTTACAATTATTGTTCTTGTCTGTTCAACAGTGATAAATTAGGCCTGGATGTAAACTATTTGCAATATCGTTTGCAGGGTGTACCAGTCCCTTTGCAATGAAAGTCATGAGCCAGTGCTTTGCTATTTTATAAATTTGTAAGTCTGTATTGAAATGTATTGTAAGTTGAGTTAAAAAAACTAAACACAAATGAGGGGGAGGTGTGAATAAAAAATATATAGTGGCTAGACGTGAGGAAAGAGAGAGTGTGTAATTTCATATTTCATTTTTGTCTGTTTTCAAGCTCTCAGTTAAAGCTATAGCCTGTTAGCTCTCGGACGCGACTTTCTCTGTTGAGCTTCTTTAGCTTCATCCGTCTGTTTTGGAACCAGATCTTGACCTGTCTGTCTGTGAGGTTGATACTCTTGCTGATCTCCAGACGGCGCTCTCGAGTCAAGTACATGTTGAACAAGAACTCCTTCTCCAGCTCAAGTGTTTGATGCTTTGTGTACGGACACCTCTTCTTTCGACCACTTTTCGCTTTTAGCCAGTTCCCCGTTGCTTTTTCCAATTTAGACTCATCTGCAGAAGAAAGAGAGAGAGAAAAAAAACAGGAAAAAGAGAAACTGTTATGCCAGAGTATGAATGAAAATAATAAAAATGACGGACGGTATTGTTGTTCGTCTGACCATGCTTTATTTTTTTCCTCCACAAAATGATCATGGTTATGTTTTTAATTTTTTTTCAGATTAAACAAACCGCGTAGTGCATCCTGTTATGGTTTAATACCCCACAGCCTTGCTCTAATGCAGAGATGCCGTTTCCCTCATTTTCTTTAATCTCAATGATATTTTCTTTTATGCATTTCCAACAATTACCTTTATGGTCAAATAGAACAAAATTAATATACGATAATATACATGATATTATCGTATATTAATTTTGTTCTATTTTTGACCATTTTCACAGTTTAACTTTATAATTTCGGTCTCTATAGGTAATTGACCTGCAACTATTTAAAACTGAGCCTTACTATGCTTTTAAAACAAACTGAAAAATGTTATTAATGTATAATTATAGGTAGATATGGCAATCTAAACATTTTATTTGCAATTGTCATAATTTACCTTGTTAAATTGTTCAAACAAATCACAATAAAAAAACTATTTCAGATAGAACATAATAAGGTGTGCTATACTACAGCAGATTACAGAATATTTCATGTGTGTAAAATAAAAACGGTATTAAGGTAAAGGTTTAAAAGACGGAAATTAATTGCAGTTGAGAGCGGGACAAATCTTAGTAAACTAAATCAAGATATCAGATTTTTACGTGTTTTCTCGTGTCTTACCAGTGATATCTCTTACACATACTGAATTATATCTATTTTATTAATCTATTTTAGTCGCACAAAATGCTTTCAATTATTATTTATAATATCTGCATATAACAGTTTAGGCTACTAACATTTTAAATAGCCAAACTACAAAACAAGAGCGAAAATTACGAAATTAGCGCAGAAAATGTCCAGTCACGCAAATGATTTAAATATTTTAAATAAATATAATATGTGTATACAAAATGTTTTTGCCTAAAATGTCTGCAAAATATTGGCTACAAAAATTTATCAATGTCATCGAGTAAAGATATAGACATCAACGATTTTAAACACGTAGTTAAAAAATGCACTCATGCTAGACTTTTACACTCGCATAATTAACATTGCATTTGTGCTGGGGGAAAGTATTCTTTACTTTCCATCATTATGCACTATTTTACTACAAAGTACTATGTAAATGTCTATATAGTTACAAACTAAGTCTAATGACAAATAAAGAAATAATGAGAAAATTCTGTAGTTTAATACAATTAAATTCATGAGAGTGTTATTTTGTTATGATATACTTAAATGGAGTGTGTGTAACGCACTGCATGTTAATCCTTGTGTGATCCTGTAGATATCAATGACAAGACTCGTTTACGTATTTTTTGTAATGGCGTTACATGCTGCTCCAATCCTAAATATACATGATACTGTTTAATTAACGGCTGTTACACAAACAAATAAAATAGCAATAAAATGAACGAAGAGCCTATATAGGCCTGTAACAAATATTTATGATGCACACAGGGCCCGACCAGTCGTCGAAGCTACAAGCTAAAATGTGTTTTGTTTTTGTTTTATTTTGGCATGCAAGCGGAATGTCAGTTCACATGTTGTACAGAGAAGGGAGCGCGCTGTTGTTGTTTTTTTTTTATGTGTGTGTTTGTGTACATGTGAGTGTAGCAGAAAAAGAGAGAGATAATTAATGAATCACCTTTTAATTCGCTTTCGGAATCATCAGTACAACTCTCTGTTTTTGACACACTCTCCTCTTTTCTAGTCTGTCTCTGATCCATGTCGTCTTCCTGCGTATTCCCTCCCTTGTCTTCTGGGTGCTGCCTTGCTTTGCTGCTTTTGACACATGAATCTGACGCTAGTGCCTCAACAGGCGTGGATATTCTGGGTATTGGATTAAAGTCCGAGCCGAACTCATCTCCGTGGTGGCCCCTTTCACTGGCGTACACCTGGCTCCGTCGGAAATAATCGGGGGTGGAGACAGCGCTTTGATTCGGGTGGCTGTTATTGTCTCCCAGACGGATGTAGGTGGATTTCTCGCCGGACTCCTTGGCGCTGTCGATATCAGGCTGATAAAGACAAGGAATCGCTTCCTCTTTTACATTGCTGGCTGGAAAAGAGCATGGGTGCAAAGGTTGGGCAACAGGTTGCGAGCCTCTGTAAGTTTTAGAGCCTGCGATCCAAGTGTCCCGCTGCGACAGGTAATGTGAGTGCTGGTAGCTGCCGAGATGCATCCCACTCGGTTGCAGGTCATCCCGTTTGGAGAGAGGGGTGCCAACAATGCCAAAACTACCCATCATGGAGCAACCATATTCTGCAGACGTTTGCATATACATTCCAGAGTTAGAGGAATAGCTCTCACCTCTGAAAGGAGATGTTCCTCCCACCAGCGAGTCCATCAGGAATGCGTTGGCTGCCACGTTGTTCGGGCATGACATTTTGCTACTTGTCTTGCTTTTCTTTTGATTCAAAACAATCTCCTTTATGCCGAAGAGGATAAGGACAGTAGGACGCTGACATCTTTTGGGGGGGCGAAAAATATCAGCAACATAATTATGGATTCAAGGCGTTTTGTCATGTGATTTTCAGACCAATAAGGTTTTGAAAGTGGCCTTGATGCGCCAGACCGTCTTGACGTCACTGGGGTCAAGTTGTTGAATTTATGTGGTGCAGCATGGAGCAATGGCGCCATCTAGCCGTGTATTGAGAACAAGGAAGCCAACAGCAGAACAAAGAACAGTCGCATGCTTCAGATATACTGTTACGTGGCTTATGTGTCTGCAAAAGAAAAGAGGCAAGTAAACTAAACTAAACACTTTACGGAAGTCAAAGGCTAATTTTACAAGCTTAGTCAATATAAATTATGGCTAATTCTACACGTTTTTGCGACAGTAAATGTAGCCTTTGTTTTTAAAAGTGCTCATGCAATTTTATTGAAGTAGGTATGCGTATATTTGTCTGTCACGACACACAATACTACGTATTAATTGTTTTTTTTTTTGTCGCATGATTGCAACTTAAATTATGTGGATTGTGTATGTTAGATCTGTTAAATATTTTTTTCATGAATTGTTATTTTCATTCGTTTTGTAAAATGGCACCTATTGTTTTTTCATTGTGAATTTCTGGCTTAGGAAATTCACATCTTTTATGGTAAAATTAATATGAAATACACAAGAGAAACTATGGTCTTATTTAGTATCTCCAAGCTGAAACAATTGCTTTAGTTTTTCCCCTCATTTTAATTTTATTTATTTTTTGACTTAGGAAAGTGGCATTGTGTTTTAAAATTAATATGAAATAAACGTGGAATTAGATCTTTTTTAGGGTCTAAACATTTAAATTATTTTTAGTCGTATTGTATATTTTTGGTGTACAAGAAACGCATTTACTTGTTCATTATCTATTTGGAAAAAATGGCTTAAAACGGCTTAAACGTCGACTGCAGAAAACTTAAAATTACCCGGAATGAATAAAATGCAATACATTATACGGTCAATTCATTCCTATTGTTACTGGCCAGAATTTTAGCAAATGTGTTTATTTTAACTCATATAAGTTATGGCATATGCATAATATATAAAGTGTAACATGTAAAGCCTGATTTTTTTTTTATCAGACCGATCTTTTTTATTATTATTTCTTCCAGATTACCTCTTACAACTTGAAATATGATTTACAAATTTAGCCCAATTCAGTACATTCAAAACAGCGAAAAGGTAATATGGCACAGGCTAAAACAAATTCACTATGCCGTTTAAAATGAAAAGAGAATCTTTTAATCCGATCAAGCTGGCGCATGTGTGAGTAATTTTTGACTTTGCATACTATAATTTATGTAAATAAAAAGAAAACTGCATGAAAACTTGGACTTGAATGGTCTTTTTCTGTGTTTGCTATCCAATACATTTCTCACCGAGGTCAGTGTCTGTGACCCAGCTGAAAACATGGGGGATGTGATTGGTCTGTTCACTTGTCTGTCAGTCAGCCTTTTAAGACAAACAAATGCACTCTCTAGTCAGAAATTAAATGTTTATCGGTACATTGCCAGCTCTGATCTGTTTTGCATAAGTTTTATTGTATGTTTTATTAATAATAGAAAATTCTGTGAAATGTAAATGCATACGCACATATATTTACATACACAAATATATGTACGTGTGTGTACAGGAGTTAAAGGCAAATCTACGTGTTTGTGTGTATACACGTGCTAGCGTGTATGGTTCTTTGTTTTACCTTGATTTATTTTATTTTTTTGTAACGAAAAACTACATAATTGCATACAATTTGTGTTTTTAAGTCTCTTAATATTTCCCAACATTCGCAAAGGAAACCTGGTGATGAACACACATAGTCCAATAGATGTATTTCTATATTTAAATTATTGATTAGTATAACATATAAGGTTTCTTCAATCAACGAAGAAGAGTCCAGTGGTTTAATGTATCAAAATTTCTACATTTTATGTATTATAAATGTATTTATTTTATGTATTATTTTATGTTTGTATTGTGTTTTTGTTGCAGCGAAAATATATTCTTGAACAAAGTGTTGCAGTTGTTTTTAAGAAAAGTGCATTTACCTAAATATTTATCTTATTGTCTCAATGTAATAAAAATACATCGGATAAACAGTTGTTTTGTTCTTTGTTTCAGATCATTTTATTAATATGAGGGAAACAATAAGAATAAAGCATCGAAAATGCAATTAATAAATATGAACCGTCGTAATCGTGCTGTAGGCTATACGCTGTTTGAGATTGCCTAGTATTTCTTTTTTGTCCGTTAGCATGCCGAAAATAAAATGGGAATAGACTATTAGTCTATTTACCACCACATTTCTCAAACATACTATTGTATTTGAGTGACATTTGTAATACTATTAAAAGTCGACAAGAGAAAAGGCTCAGTTTAAACAATAAAAGGCTAATTAGCCTCCCTTTTTTCGTCGGTCCATCAAAACATTCACGTTAATTATATAAAAGAAGGGTAAAGCCAGTAAAAAAATACTTGTTTTAAATTCAAGAATAGCCTACTTATTCACATAATCTATATTTTTTTCTATGTAGGTTATATATTTATACAGCCTATTAATTTGGTAGTCTCAGTTGATGTTTACCCAGTTAAAATAGTATAGATTTTGTGTGTTGGTTGAATTTGTAAAGCACTTTGGTCAACATTTGATGTTTTAAAATGTGCTATATAAATAAAGCAAACAAGCAAATATATATTGAGCAGCTATTTACGTCTGATCCTTTTTTATTAAGAATTATTACACGCATTGTGTTAAAATCGGCACAGAAAATAAAGTCGTAAAAATGAAATCTCTCATCCAATTCCTCAACTTAGGCCTCTACATAAGCCAGGTTGCCTTGAAACGAATAAGCTGGACATACGATGGGTATTCCGTGTCTGTTTTGGAACTGAAACCACCATAAAACATATTTCCAATTTGAAGCGACTCGCTTTTTAACCGTTTCCCCTCACCAAACAGGCGTCCACCCACAGAGGTCTATGGAAATTTATGGTTGATGCATGTAACGTTTTAAAGACATTTATAAATCAGAGTGGTAAATCGCAAAGCACATCAGCATTATATTAAATTTTAATATCACGAAAGACCATACAAATGACTAGTGGGCACCAGTGGCGATTGTATTTACAGCTTTTCATCACATGCAGGAGTGCGGAAGTATAAGCGTACAGTCAGTGTTAATAGGCTCTATCCAAAGCCCACAACTGTACGGCCTGAAGCAGAATCAGCGAGAAACAACACAGAAGCTTTCAACGTGAAACATATTTAGCAATTCACATATTACAAAATATCATGGTAAATCACGCGCTTGTTCCCCCCCGACTTTATCATATTGGAATACTGAGAAATTATCATTATTACTTTATTTTATTGTTATTTTTTTATGTCTTGCGAATTGGGGCAACATCATTATATGCCTAGTAGTAAATATTACATTTTCTGTTAGTGAGAATACGTTAGATTAATATTGTAAAACTTTTTATCAATGTTTCTAAAAGGTTATATCTCATTTGAGAAACCTAGGTAGAATAAAATCCAGGTAGTAGTTACATCCAGTGGTTATATATCCACAGTCCTTATGCTGATGCATCAGAAACCTCCGCCATTTTCCTTGTGGTCTAAGAGAGCTTTCGAAAGCATCCATTGCGCTCTTACTCTCCATTTTGCAGATACTGCTAGTTTATTTGGCATTTCGATAGAAATCGCACAACAGAAAACGTCCTACCACAAACACACAATTTGTTTTGGAAAGTCTCATTTATGAGTCAACTCAACCCACGGCAAAATGCAAATATTATGGCCATTGTTCATTATTCTACGCGCTGATTGCTTTGGTTTGGAGGCGACAGTATCTCCAGCGTTTGATAGGTGGACGTTCCCAGTTCCTGCTCTTCAGTGTGACCACGCAAGAGAAAGGAATTCAGCAAATTAACTACGTCACTGAGCCAGGGCCAAGGTTGGTGGGTGTGACAAAAAGACAAGCCTTCCAGCCTTGATCCTTCCAGTCTATGCCCCCCTTCGTCTCCCCACCCGCCATTTCTCTCCCACAGTTCCACAAGCAAAGATCAGTGGCAACGAATCCACTGAACTAACATATCAGACACACATAAAAACCTCAACAAAAATGCCTCTACATTCGGACTTTACAAAAGAACGAATGTGTTGTAATGCTTTCAAGTGTTTAAATCTCTGTAATAAATCAGTACACCAATTCACTGCGAAATGGACCCCCCTCCATTTCTTTTCAAGTTCAAGCATCAATGCATATATATCTATACTTATAAATATATAATCAAATCTCAGTTTTAAATCTGTCAGAAATCTACTTCCTGTTACCCAGCAAAAGTCACAACCAAGCAAGCTTAAATGGTCAAGAACATGCTAAAATGTCATAAAATATACCATGCATGAAAATATTACATTTTACAGAGACAATAAAGTGCATTTAATGGGAGTGCTAAAACTGGAAAAGTTACCTGCTGTAGTTTAATGCGAGAGGTCAAAGTGTTACTTCTTAGACATTCCTTGGTTCTTTCCCACTTGCGCTGATTGGATCTGTTCTGTTCACCACGTTTCCTGACAAAAGGGGCTCCTTGATTTCGCTTTATTGCAATAGGTTAAAGGTGAAGGCCTTGACATTATTGAAGTTCAAAGACAACTTTTAATTATATCTTTTCTTCATACACATAAGTGCCAACAGCACACTTGCACGCATTATGAGCCCACATGTTGTGACAAAATTCATGTAGAGTGATCACATATAAAACTGCACATGGGGAGAGCATGCGATACCCACACCCCTGTGAGCATGCACCACAAAATAAATATCTCACCTCTGTTCGGTTTGCCACTTAAAAGCCGAGATACGTGCAACTCAGCACCTTTATCTTGAGAGATTATTCCTTGGGATCGGACAACCGGGCGATATCATTTGATAGGTTTCTTGCACCTAGGCGTTCATTCTAAAACATCTAGGTTTTTTTGTGTAAGCAGCCGGACTTTCTTGTTTACTATTTACTGCGGAAGTGAACACCATTCCCCTAGAACAGACGGTGCAATTAAGTCAGAAAAAGGCAATTTAGGGCCCTAGCTTTATTGCAGTGTCTAGACTAGAAGAGTGGCGATTCCATTTAGAAGGTACTAAAAGACGGTACCGAAATGCTCTCTACATTTCTGAAGTGTTCAAGAGCAATTTCATGGATCCCTTTCTTGGTCGCTTTTATTAGACAAATACCTATGTTCATTTAAATATCTGTTAAGACCGGTCTAAATGTTACACATTCGTGTATTATCCAGTTTCCATAGCTAAACAACAACAAAATAATACACTTAAACGAATGTGTATGACTGAGGCGACGAATGGAAATAAAAACAGAGCAAAAGAGGAAGAGAGAAATAGATTATTTAATTTTTTTTCTTGATATAGTGGTCAGTTTCTACCTTCTCTTGGGTCTCGGCAGTGTTGTACACATCACTACATTCCTCACCATAGACTTTCCTATTGATTAATCATCTTATTTTCCATAATTATTATTAGTTTTAAAAATCAAGTCACAGTGACATGTAACAGTTTACCTTTATTCGTGTTTATTTTTGATTAATACGCAGTACACAGGCCAAATCGGACCGCCGAACTTCCCCTTAAGAAAAAAAAAAAGATAGAGAACTTTGGGCGTACAGCAAATAATTTAAAGAATTGAACAACAAAGCTCACAAGGCTGCAAAGGCAATGTAAAGAAATATAGCAGCAGGGATAAGTTGAGGATACTCAAAATAACATTATATTTACATTCACGAATGCACAATGCATAATCTCTGTACAAGGAATACATTATTACAGATTGTACAAGTCACAGTTCTAAATGGTGAAAACATAAAAAAGTATGACATCTCCAGATTTAAACCAGAGTCGAGAGTGTGTTTTAATGTACATATATACAAGCATAAAATGATAAGGGTACAATTTTATAATATATTATAGTAGGCTATTTTGTCGCCTTATTCAAAGTGAATATTTTAATTATTTTCACTTAAAAGACGGGTCACAAACAAATAGAAACCTTAAGTTTGTGAAGATTACGTTTTGGTTTGTGAACTTTAAACTTGAAATATCAGTTTGACATTAAGCAAATTTGTATTGTCTGTCCCCACCCTCAGCCATTACAATCCTGTTAGCCTCCAACTGTCTTAGGCTTCTTCAGTACTGTTGCTGGCCTAGACAAAAACATATCTAATTATTTAATTAGACTGAAGGGCATATTTGACATATTTAATAGAGTTTGTTTGCAAAAATATTAAATAACAGGCAACGCCATTTCAACAATTACAGCAACGGATTTCCAGAGAAATACTGCAGGCGATCTCTGCTTAATTTCTTTTCTTTCATTCTACGATTTTGAAACCATATTTTGACTTGTCTGTCAGTAAGGTTTAACATTCTGGATAGCTGTAGCCTTTTCTCCTTGTTGATGTAAACGTTAAAGAAAAATTCTCGCTCCAGTTCACGAATCTGAAATTTGGAGTATGGACATCTCTTCTTTCTTGTGCGCGGGGTACCTTAGGATAAAAATATAAAAAAAGAGACAATTACAATGATTAACATTTTAAAATAAACATTTTAAAGCAACATTTATTTTCAGCAAAAACAAAATGAGATGTTTATAAATGTACATTTTTTTATTTTATTTTTGTTCATTTATTTATTGAAGATACATTTGTAATATCAAATTTCACTAAATGCCTCGTGGACTGCATCTATGGTTACCAATGTGAGGAAGCAAACACAATTTGTCACTCTACAATTTTTGTAACCCTGGGGAAAATAAAAATCTTAAATACAAAATAATTATCACAATAACAATAATACTAATAACAACAGCAGCAGCAAAAAAAAAAAAAAAACAACAACAACA